ATATTTTTTATTTTAAAAATTTGTGTAATAGACGAAATGAAATCGTTTAACATTGTGTGAGGACTAAAAAAAATTTAAGATAAACATTAAAGTAATATGAACACGATAGAAAAGAAGGTTAGTATATATTATTTAGAATAGCTTACCTGAACGGCATTAAGAAAACGTTTCTGACAACTATTATATATAGTTTACTTTGTAAATTGGTTACTATAAAAATGAAGCTGTTTTGGATATTTAAAGAGAGATTAAGCTTTTAAAAGACTTATTGGCTTCTTAGAAGGACGGACAGACTCTATAGTAAATATATATAGTCATGTAAATATAATGATTTATAAATGGTCACAAAACATATATACAATATTTTAAAATAATATAAAAATTAAACATTAAATTTTTAGATGTTTGAGATTTTAACAACCGAGACTATTGAATATTAAATTACTGGATTTTGTTTTAGTAAGTACTTTTTTTAATATAATAGTACTCAAACAGCTATTAATTAAATTATCAACTAACCATGTTTTCCATAAGCACCTCGTCGCCAATTTTAATAAGGATTAGCAATAAAAATGTTTAGTTAATAATCATTCAGGCTTCACTTTTGTAGATCACATTTGTAGATATACGCGTTAGAGACAATAAAAAACACGCTTATAACTATCCAGGCTTATATGAATTTAGACTTAGTCATATGAACACAACAGTTATATTAAGAAATTGTGTTTGTATACAACTTAGAACTAAAATCATTGGAAAATACTAAAAATGGAATTATCTAAATCAGGTCGTCCACATAATATATTGTTTGTTATTTCAGTTCAATTAAAAGCAAAGAATTATTCGTCCTATTTTGATCTCTGGACAAAAAAATGAAGAAGATGATTTTAACTTCAAAAAAGATAATCATACGATTTTTAAAGCCCAGCGTGTACGTTTGTTTGTTTATATGCTACATAGACCTTATAATGCTAACATCAAAAAAATATTATCATAGCAAGCATTTGACAAGAACTCTGTGGAAGCATCCTGCAAAAGATAGGTTGAAGACATAAGTGACCTCAAAATGATGAATGTACCAAAATAAGAAAAATATAAAGGTAATGAACTAAAACAGATTACTATATTTTTTAAAAATAATACTCAATATTTAGTTTAAATATAGAACCATAATTATAAACAATTAATACACCAATTTGAACCGAAAGAAGTAAAATTAATAACGGCAGATATAGAATTATATTTGGTTCTGGAATATTGATTTAAAGAACTTTTAAATATAAAAACAAAAAATCCAAAGAATATAAAATATTTATTTAATCAAAGCTTAAAAAATGTCATATAGTAATTAAACTTTAATAGGCTATATTATTAAAATTTATTTCATGAAAAATTCCAAACTGTGTTATACATTATTCCAAACTGTGATAAAATTATCAAGTGATAATTTTACAACTAGTCGTATACACTAAGATTTAAAAATTAGAAATAAATCGAAACGGGGATTAAATGCTATTCTTATAGCAAATACTAAATGCAGACTCTGTGAATCTACAATAATGAAATTTTTACTTACGAAAGATAATGGTTGGTCTAACTCAATTAACTTAAAAATCCATAAGCCATAAGCCTTTAAGCCATAAAAATATGATGAACTGGTAACACAAGTACTAAGGTTTTTTTGTAATAACTTATTAGGTGCAGTTGAATTTTGAATAATTTTTAAAAATATATTAATAAAATAACGTGTTTCTTTTCTTGTTTTTAGACATAAAGAAACGATTTCTTGATCCAAGTAGATACAATAAACATGTAGTAGAAAAAAAGGGTTTATTTATATTCAATATTTAACTATATATAGGATGTCAAAGTAAAGTCCATCTTAAACAATCTCACATCAAAAAATTCTCAATCAATATCAGTCCTCAAATCCTCAACATAAATCAATTACGTATATTGTTTTATTTTAGCAGTTTAACTCATATATTCTTGCCAATTATATATTCTTTCCTTGACTAAGCTATTGAACATAATAATAAAATAATAAATAAATGACCCTATATTATGTATGCCCGTCAGCTATATCGATGACAGAGCTATTATCTTTTAAAATTCGGAATATAGCGAAAGTATTTAAACTTATCAGATTGATTTCCTTTCACTTAAATGGAAAAGCTGCACCCTTTCATAGGGGCGCTGTTCATGCGCTATATAAATTGATTTTCTGTCTTTAGGATAGTCTTTAGTCTCACTATTCGAGACTAACATACTAACATTTTTCCAAATCAAACAATTTTTAATAAAATTGAGATTCTATAAGATTCTTTAAAATTTATAATCCATCCATTAATCATCCATATATTTTACTAGTATTTTGACAAATACATTAAAATAAACCGTTTTATGATTCAAAAGTAGGCATCAAATAATTACTGAAAAAATAATGACCCAAACATATATGTAGTCTGGGTATAGTTTTTGGAAGTCTTAAGAAGACATTATTAAAAAAAAAGTGTTACGGATGAAACACTTGCTTCAGGTAACCACCCAAAACCCTGGAGAAATATTATTAAATGCAAGATACAATACAGCAGTATAAATGGTTAAAAAAACTCAGGATCTTATGACCTAAAGATACTACACAAGAAAAGTAGACCCAAAATAATATAAGCTTAGGAATAAGTAACACCAAAGTATAGAATTTAAAAATACAACAGAATGTCGTAGATCGGGTAGAGTAAAACACTGCTAAATGCAATCTACATTTTAATATTGTTATAAAGAGATTTTTTGGTCGATTTTTTGATAATAGAATAGCTAATATGTTACTTGATAGATACAAACAAAAATAAATATTCACAGTAGCAAAATATTTTATTTTGGCATCGAGCACTAAAACTAATACAGTATTATAAGACTATACGACTCTTATAGGAGTCATAATGTATCCAGTATATCTTAATTTAACATACATTGTGACCGAAAAGCTTTCGGAAATTCTCATTTAAAATTCGCGCGCTGTATATTTTTCGATATTTTAAGTTTATGTAGTTTGGCAGCACTGTCCTTAATTACTATGCCAAAAATGAGCGCGATCTGTCAGACAGTTCGTTTACGGCAGCTGTTGAAACCAGTTCACCTCAGTAGTGCGTTGCGAAAAAAACAATGGAAAAAAATATTGAACAAAGAGTTTGCATCAAATTTTGTTTTTCGAACGAAATTTCGTGTGCAGAATCGTTGCGAATGCTACAAAAGGCTTATGGGGAATCAGTTTTATCGAAAACTCAAGTTTATGAGTGGTACAAAGCCTTTCAGGACTGTCGTACGACCGTCGAAGACATGCCGCGTTCTGGACGACCTTCGACCTCTACCACCGACGAAAACATTGAAAAGGCAAAGGAAATCGTGTTCAAAAATCCTCATGTGAGTGTTAGAGAGATAGCACGAGAGCTAGGCATCGGTCGTGAGATGGCTCGTTTGATTTTGGTGGACAATTTGTGTATGCGACGTGTCAACGCCCGGCTTGTTCCGATTCACCTCAATTTGTTCAACATTATCAACGATTTTAAGGCCAAACATTCAATAAATACCATCGAACAGCCACCGTATTCACCTGATCTTGCACCGTGTGACTTTTTCCTGTTTCCCAACCTCAAATTACCACTCAGAGGAACGCGTTTTGAATCCATAGAAGACGTAAAACAGAATTCGCAGAGGGAACTCAAAGCCATACCGGAAAGCGCCTATAAAAAATGTTTTGATGATTGGAAGAAACGTTGGCATTTGTGTATCGCTTCTAATGGAGCATATTTTGAAGGAGATAAAATAAATATTGATGAAGATTAAGAATTTTGCGTTTTATTTATTTATTTCCGGAAACTTTTCGGTCACAATGTAAATACACATAATTTTTTTTCAGAAAGACTTCATACTAATTCGTTTTGGAAATGACTTTAAAAATTATATTGTGTGAGACTTGAACTCACTAAAACCACCTCTTAGAAATGTATGGAGAAGATTTTCACAGCATTGAGGAAACTTTATTGCAGTAATCAGGGGAGAGAGATGTGAACATATAGACTTCATTTAAAAGTATGTTAAAATTAAACAAAATTATAAGACTATGCGGCTATTAAATCCTCTTTGGACCATTGCTAATCGCGATTTATATATATAAAATTTTTTCTTAGAATGAACTCATACAAACTCCTTTTGAAATGATTTTAAAAAGAATATTAGAAATAAACAAAATTATGAGGCTATATATGTTGAAAGCCTTGCTTAAACGAATTATATCTCCATTTTAATAAATATATAATTTTTTTTTTAAAAAAACTTTTTTTTTCATACTAAATCTTTTTTGAAATGACTTTAAAAAGAATATTAGAATTAAACACGATTTGCCTGACTTCTTAGTATCAATGATCTCTTTTTCTAGTGTTGGTTTATAAGAGCATAAATATTTAGTGAATTGTCTCATACACTCTTTTCATGCTTAACTCAATCAGCATACTATAAAGAGTATCTCAGAAAAGAAACAAGTCAAACTTAATTTTCTAACCGGCGCTGAGAATTAAGAAGACTTTTCTATTAGACAACAGATAGAAACTTCTCCTGTCCAATAAGTTTAATGTCAACGATGATTGCAGTAGACCAGCCGGGTCTGCATCAGTTTAATTGTTGCTGATAATGCTATCGTTGCGGTACAGAAATTGCTGATTTGCGGAGTTTTTGCTCTGTGATTTGCGATTGTTTCCTTACGTTTGGTAGTCCAACGATTGGAAAATCACTGATGAAAAATAAATTTCAAACGAAAAAAAAGAATATAGTTAGTGCTTACTGATTGTCAGATTGTTTAGGTTTGCACACACAGAATAATAGAATTTATCTCGTTGTTAGATGTTTTCTGTTTATTTATCTTAAAATTTAATTTTGTTTATGCACGCAAATTGAGGAATCAAAAAAAAAAAATAACTAAATATATTTATAATTTTATTTACATTTTGTGCTCTGAAATTTTGCTTAACTGCTTTTCTGCTGCTGCTGATGCTGATTCTGATGCTGCCGCTGCTATTGTTGTTGTTGTAGTTACTCTTGTTGGCCGTTTTGTTGTTACTCGTGTTGTTGCTGCTCCAAAGGCTGCTGCTACTTTTGTTTGTAGCTAAAATTTTAATTGGTTTTGGGTAGGCATGCAGTGTTGCGTTAGTTTTAAATTAAAAATTGCACACAACTTTATTTATCTTCGATTATTTTTACTACCACCTTTTTTAATTATTGTTTAAATATATTACTTTTTATTTTTTAAAAATTCTAAAATTTTTGTTTTTTAATTTAGCACAATTTTATTCAAAGATTTATTTAACAATTAATTTTTTTTAATAAAATTTCCTTGAATTTGTTTTTACTGCACCGAATTTAATTTATAATCATTTAATAATTCAACACACAATTTTATAAATACATTTACTTATATATTCTGCTATTAATTATTTGCATTAATATATATTATTTCCATTTGCTATTTTCTGCACGCACTTCAAGTTAAACAAATAATTGCGGTGCGACAGAAACTTAAGCACATAACCCGGTGAGCACCAATTACAAACTGATTGCTACAACTGATTTCAGTGTGTCAAGATACCGAAATGACGACCGATTCAAAATCAGCTGCGTATCTCTGAGATACATACGACTTTATGTTATATTTAGCTTTTATGCTGTTAACAACAGCATGTATGGTTATAACAGTAATGTCACCACTAAATGTTATGCAAACGCAATCACTACATGTCTATGTTAATTAACAGGCTGCGAGAAAGCTTATTTTCTGTAAGGAGCACAACATGACTTTAAGTTGAATTTTTATTCTTAACTATTTGTTGATTTTATTCTTTACGCTTGTACTTTAATCATTGATTTTATGTTGTTGACATTGCAGATTGTTGCACTTGCACTGACAATGAAAAACTCTTGTGTGAACAGAGGAAAGTGCTTGTTAGTTGTGCTTGAGTTTAAGTTTTATACTAAGTAGTTAATACATTGAATTATATTGTTGATATTTATATATATGTATATATATATATGTATATCATATATATATATATCTTATTGTGTTATATTTTGTTTTATATAAATTTGTAAAAATATTGGCAACATTATTTTAGTAATACACATCAGAACAGAACTATTATTCAATCCATCATTTGTGTATTTAAGGTTTGCCATTTTACAATGTGAATCGTTTAACAACCACTGAACATATATAGGTAAATAATTACAACTACTACTGCCTGGTTTAATAACACTGTTTAAGTGTTATATATCAAGAACAGAACAAAATTGAGATTGGGTATTTTACAATATAAGTCGTTTAGCCACCGCTGAACATACTAATATAATGAAAACTACTACAAGCATTATCATTCTTTAATTAAAACATCTTGTATTGTTTCAAATTCAGTAATAAAGCTTATTTTTCAATTAACGGTTATGTTAACAAACAATATAGTCGCATATATGATCATTAACTGTGCATAGTATCCATGAAAACGCAATGTTTGACGTGATAATTGATCTAGAGGTATGTGACACAAATAAACAATTTTAGTCCCTTTAACTACGTGATTAGCAATTCTTTTTTGAAGTGAAATTGAAGACATTAGGTGTTAACAAGTTACTATTATAAGGTATGTAAAACATACTGTTTTGGATTAGTTAGCTGTTTTGGCGAGAAACTTCTCAGATGTGGAATTTCTTATTTTGGTTATGTGATTTGGTCACCAAGATCATATGACTTATTTGCACTGGAATTTTTTTTTTTGTAGTAGTAGGTTGGGTTGGATCCAATGACATGGCTGGTTCCGGTCAAGTCATTGAAGCTCCGGTATTAAGATATCTCTCTTCATAATGATGTATTTTTTCTGTAAGATTGCTCAATACTCAAACTGTAGACGCTAAGAAACAACTGGAGGAACATCCATCAAGTTATGCAGTAGCGTAAGATGTTCTACTGATGATATTATACTAATGTTGCACTTTTGATCCACTGACAAACTCAAAATAAGATACCGAAATAAAAATTTGATTAAAAATTTAGTTACAAGTGTGTTTAATTTACGTTTACTTTCAGAACCAGAGAATGAATCGCTCTGTACATTTTATTTAAATTCTTTAATTTTTATATATAATATATATTTAAATTATGTTGGTAATAAATATACACATCATTTATTATATTATCATTATAATAAATAAATAATAATAAAAAATAATATACAAATTCACTCTACATAAAAAGAAAAATGATTTATATTATGTGCTATTTAGCACTTCTCATGTGGCAAGTGGCTAATAACTCGGTTTCATGTCTTCATCGGCATACTAATAACCGCAATAAAATGCATGGATGTCTACAAACCAGACCAGACCAGACCAGATCAAGCCATTTTCCGTATCCACCGTACAATTCGAGGCAGTGCACATGCATGCATGTAAGTCTTGACTTACGACAAAGACGTCGACCGGAGACAACTAAGCAAAACCAGGCGCAACCAATGACCAAACCAACCAAAACAATACAAAGCCAAACAATAAAAACAACAACATGTTCACAGCAGTGAGACCGAATGAAATTTGCTCTGGGCTTTTGATTTACATCGTTAGCACAACAACAACGTTAACTAATGTTAACGCAGCATTAACAGGCGTAGCATAACAACAGCACCAAATTCAGTTGAAATTTCTGAATGAGATGCGGGGCAAGAACGCGGAAAATGAAAATTCATTTCAATAAAAAGCAGCGTTCTGCACTATTGTTTCTGTAAGTACGCTACATTTTGTTGCAATTAATATATATAATATTGTGTGAGAAGCAGTTGGTAATTGCTGAAGATATTTATAAGTACTTCTGATTAAAAAAAAAGTTGTGGAAGATTTCTTGAAATCACAAAAAAATATATATAAAAAAATATATATAGTATATGGTAAAATGTATTAGGTACATGGTCAAAATTTATGTCTATAAGTGAAAATACATTTGTTTTTTTTTTATTGAATCCTTTATATAGAAATTTACTAAAAGTTATTTAAAACTTAGGTTAGGTTGTACTATCGACGGTCCCCTTAGGCCTATTGGCTCATTGTGTTACAGTACAAGAAATTTGAGTTTTAAAAACTCTCTTGAATATTTGACAATACCGTAAATGCTCTGAAGTTCGCTCAAATACTCAAGGAAGGAAACGCCTAAAATAGTAAAACGGTGCTGCACAAGCGCTGTGCAGTAACGAAAAAAATATAAGATACTTTTATCGTTCTTTTCCTAACAGCGACAGTAATCATTTAACGGAAGAATCAATCATCTCTCAACGTTCTCTAATCGGCTGTGATCCATCAAAAAATCTTATTGAAGTCTTAAATATAAATCTGAAAATCTAAATTAAAAAATATGTAAAAAACTTAAGTTTATTTTTACCTTAACCAAAATATTTTTAACTTAAAATAAAACTATTTATTAATTTAGTTAAGGCTTTAAGCATATGTCAGTTACATGTTTTCTTTTGAGACTTGAGTTTTATTACAAATCCACTTGCTGTGTTATATTAGAACGAAATCATAAACTACCTGTAGAATAATTGAAATAATTAATTATATTTTTATTTTTAATTGTTAAATTTAAATATTATTCTATTAGGCATTATTTGTGGCATAATTTATATATTCTTTGTTATGTATAGAACCTAATCTAGGAATGTAATACTGAAAAATTCTTACTATGTTACTCCGACGAGTCTATATTTCAATATAAGAAAATAATTTGTATTATTTTGACATAGTTGACTGATTAAATTAAAATTTAATTTTAAATAATAACAATTTTTAATTAACAACTTAAAGCAAGAAAAAAAGTAACTAGTATTTCAACGAATTGCCGATATTCACTAAAACCGTTCGTATATACTGACTGCTTCAGCAAAAATATACAACAAACTATTTGTTTTAATATATTCAAAATGAAAGAAAGTATTTTATATATAAAAACAATATATATTGAAATATTGCTATACACTACTACTTATAAAAACAATATATAGATATATATCTCAAGTGTTGAAATGACTGCATTTATTTCCATAGCGAATGGTATGAGTGGGCACGGCAACAAATTTACGGTATCTGTGAGCCTAGAATTAAAAACAAAAAACGAGACCAAAAGCAAAAACAATAAAACATGAACTGAGCATAATGTTCCGGTTTGAAGCATAATTTCAAGCTCAATTGGAAAAGCCACAAAATTTAACAAATGGCGAGGGGGAAAATTGACATCAGAAAAGAATTAAAAATCAAAAAATTAGAAAAAAAAACATCATTAAAACGTATTCTATACTGTGGGATATTGAGAGAAAGTATGAGTTGTTAGCAGTACTGCAAAACCATTTCTTTTGAATCTATGAATGCCTTTTATGATAATAATGCTTATTTTTAATTTATTTGTTATCAAATTAAAGTATACTTTAATAAATAGTTATTAGGTGCATACTTATATGTAAATAATATTTTGCTTGCATTTAAGCACTCCATTTCACTCCCAATATATTACACAATTTAAAATACATAAACATATTCCTGTTAAATTATATTCGGACTTAACATTAATGTTAAAATTAACGCTGTTAAAAAAAGCTTATGTACATTACATTGTATGGTTTCAGTTATAGTCAGTATGGTAGTGCTCGCGGCTTTGTAACCTCAATTCATTACTTCTAATAACAATGCTGAAACCTTAAAGTTTACTACGATCTTTTGACTAAAAAATCCATAAAATATAAAAGTAATGAAATGATTTAATACATAAAAAGAGATCTAAATATTTTATTTTTTAATGTTGTAGTTTTAAAGTTTTGAAACCTTATGCAGTATTTTAAATATTATTACATTGAATATAAATAAAAAATTCTTTTAATATTTAATTAGAAGCACTGAGTAAAGGAGTTCAATATATTGATTTATAAAATCGATCTTCAGTCTGGCACCATAATTTAAAGTAATTAAAAAGACAAAAAAGTATTATATATAGAATATGAAAGTATAAAGGATGCGCAATTCTATGAATATATAAAAGATCGACTATGTATAACAAAATTGGTAAAATAAAAACGTCCTAGCAACAATATTTACAGAGCAAGTACATTTGTAAACCATAATGAAGAAAATTTTTATTGATATAAAAGATATAAATGACTATTTACTATTACTGGTGTTGATACCATTATCAAAGTATCTTATCGTAG